GCAACGCGTACTCCTGGGGGTTACGCCCCGACCTCGCTACCACTTCTCTGAGTGCACGGAGGGCAGCAGTATACCTCACTACTCTCACTGCTCTTCCACTACGGTACGAAGCCAACGGTGCGGAGTCAGGGAACGTCGCATGACACGATAACAGCTCCACCACAAGAGCCACCGCGCCACCGCGTGCTCTCACACCTGACTGCGGTCCGGTGACTTCGTCTCGCGTACGAACCCGTATGTTTCCTTTCTGCTCTTGATCGGCCTTGTGCCCTCTAAACCTCATTTCGACACGGTCTGCTCTACGATAGTGACTAAAGACTAATTGCGTCTCGCCAGCAAACAATGCTACGTCCGCCCTCGTAAGACAGTGTGCCTCATGCACCCTGCCCGCATCATTCGCGAACACCTCATCAGACCGTGTGATAAAGAGATAGGACAAGCACAGACACAGCCACATCACTCTGCCCCCTTCCCCCCAGTTCTGGCTTGCGCTTTCCCCGTCCAGCAGCATACGCCAAGACACAGGCAGGCGCACACGGCGTACCGTCCCCACAGCCACGTGGTTCCTCGCAATCCCCCTTAGCGCACATTTCAACATCGGAGACGACAAGTCTAGCTCGACAGAAGCTTCCAGCCTATGAAAATGTTGTACAGCCGTGAGTTTTCCGGATATTGTACTCGCTAGATTACCCTCAGACTCGAAACACCAGGCTACGAAGTCTATCAACTCCCACACATGAAGGTCCCCGGCACGTTGCCCTAGGAACTTGGGCTTCTCCGTCAGCCTGCGAAACGTGCACCAAGAGTTGAAGCCTGACGTGTAAGTCCTTCTAGACGAAGACGCAACTGAGTGCTCGACGAGCTGCATGCCAAGACGTCGGTAACAAAGTCCCGTCCTGCCTGTCCCAGGTCCTGAACCTGCTGATAGCCCTGGAGCCAACCTCGTGTAGACCGGCGTGCTGCCGTTCGATTTAGCCGCAGGTGCGCTGCCATCCGAGGTAGGCCCCCCCGCTACGCGGGGAGAGCCCGCACCCCTATTTGTCTTTCCCGTGGGTGAAGAAGCCAGCGGCCTTGGGGTCTCGCGCCGCCCTCGCCAGCGGCGCGCGCCTCTCCTCCGCGCCCTCCCCCGTTGCCGTGGCCAACGCCGCGCGCGCCGGTTGCCGGAGTTTCGGACGCTCCGCGCCTAGCGTGGGAAGGGTTCTGGGCGTGGATGTGTGGGCAGTTACGATCATGGCAACCGGACGACGAGTTGAAGGCGAAGCAGTAACCACGAGCGTGTCGAGCGATGCCGCCACTTTCTCTGTCACCAGGACGCCTTTGCGAAGCAAGGATTGCCACTCCATCTGCGACAGTTTTGAAACTGCCGGGGGCCGCCCCAGGATGAGCCACGCTTTTACCCGGCGGAGGTCCCCCCACATCCGCGCTCTATCCTTTGCCGTAGCCTTAGCCGCCTCGGCGCTGGGTGTAGCGGGGGCCCGAGAGGCCGATGGTGGGGCGGGTGTGCCCACAAGTTGCACCCCCCCCCGGAAGGCCAGGTCCTGCTGCTTGGGTGGCGATCAGGTCGTCGATCGTTGCTTGAAGCTGCTGGCGATCACCGGCAGCCTCATCGCGCTTCCGCTGCAGCTCCTCCCTCAGGCCGTCCACCAGCCCGCGGAGAGAAGCGAGCTCAGTCTCATCAGCGGGGGGGTCGCCGCGGGTGCCTGTCCCTGGCGCTCGCGAGGAGGATACCGCTCGACGCCTCGCGGGAGTACGTGATCCGCTGCGCGTCGAGGGGCGAGCCGTCGAGCTCGCCACCGATCGCGCGGTAGACCTCTCGTGCGTGGTGTCGAAGGTGTCGCCGCCCGACCTCGCCCTGCTTGCCCAGCCGCTGCCCTGCCGCTCCGCGTGGAGGCCCGTGTCGGCATCTGGTCGCGGTTGGAGTCGTATAAGCAGCGGACCGGCGGCAGGCGGCGGGCGAGCGTCAGGGCGGCGTTGCGGGAACACTTCTTTTCCTCTTCATCGTGGGCGTAGTCGATCGCGCGCCTGGATCTGCAGTTAGAATGGTCTACAAATCCTATCTTCGGGCGAAACTATCTGACGTGGGTTTTCGTCGGGCCCAGAACGACGCGTTGTTATATCGCGAGCTCGCGTTAGTTCATTCTCGACGCCTGTGGATTGAATGGAGTGATTATTGCTGCTGACGCTACGGTCACCGGACGTCGACCAATCCCGAATATTTCTCTCTTTGGAACACTAGCGATGGTTTCTCTTTTTTTTTTTTTTATATATATATTTTCTTGGATTCGGTGAACCCCGGTTCGCCATCGGCACGGGTGCTTCCACTCATTGGCGCGTCCCGTGCTGATACGTGTTTTTTTTTTTTTTTCGATGCGTTGGATACGGTGAACTCCACTTGCCAACAGCGCGGGTGCTTCCACTCATTGGCGCGTCCCTCGCTGAAACTGACAACACATATGCAGCACGGGTGCTTCCACTCATTGGCGCGACCCGCACTGATGATACTTGTACGCAGCGCGGGTGCTTCCACTCATTGGCGCGTCCCTTGCTGAAACTGACAACACATATGAGCACGGGTGCTTCCACTCATTGGCGCGTCCCGTACTGATACGTGTATGACTTCGTTTTCGATGCGTGGAGATCGGTTAATTCTACTCGCCCAACAGCACGGGTGCGCCCACTCATTGGCGCGTCCCGTACTGATACGTGTACGGCGTTTTTGTTCTTTCTTTTTGAGATCGGTTAACTCTACTCGCCAACAGCACTCATTGGCGCGTCCCTTGCTGAAACTGACAACACATACGCAGCACGGGTGCTTCCACTCATTGGCGCGTCCCGTACTGATACGTGTACGACTTCGTTTTCGATGCGTTGAATTCGGTTAACTCTACTCGCCAACAGCACGGGTGCGTCCACTCATTGGCGCGTCCCGTGCTAATACGTGTACGGCGTTTTGTTCTTTCTTTTTGAGATCGGTTAACTCTACTCGCCAACAGCACGAGTGCTTCCACTCGTTGGCGCGTCCCGTGCTGAGGCTGACAACACATATACAGCACGGGTGCTTCCACTCATTGGCGCGTCCCGTACTGATGCATGATTTGTGGTATTTCCTACCGCTGCGTTGAATTCGGTTAACTCTACTCGCCAACAGCGCGGGTGCGCCCACTCATTGGTGCGTCCCGTGCTGATACGTGTACGGCGTTTTGTTCTTTCTTTTTGAGATCGGTTAACTCTACTCGCCAACAGCACGAGTGCTTCCACTCATTGGCGCGTCCCGTGCTGAGGCTGACATCACATATGCAGCACGGGTGCTTCCACTCATTGGCGCGTCCCGTACTGATGCATGATTTGTGGTATTTTTCTACCGCTGCGTTGAATTCGGTTAACTCTACTCGCCAACAGCGCGGGTGCTTCCACTCATTGGCGCGTCCCGTGCTGATACATGTACGGCGTTTTGTTCTTTCTTTTTGAGATCGGTTAACTCTACTCACCAACCGCACGAGTGCTTCCACTCATTGGCGCGTCCCGTGCTGAGGCTGACATCACATATGCAGCACGGGTGCTTCCACTCATTGGCGCGTCCCGTACTGATGCATGATTTGTGGTATTTTTCTACCGCTGCGTTGAATTCGGTTAACTCTACTCGCCAACAGCGCGGGTGCTTCCACTCATTGGCGCATCCCGTGCTGATACATGTATGACTTCGTGTTTCGTTGCGTTGAGATCGGTTAACTTCCACTCGCCAACAGCACGGACGGGGAGAGAATTAGAAGTAGAATATACGGACATTATATTTTTGGAGAAGGATAGCAGCTGAACAGGCAGTTGTTGAAGCATGAGTAACGCGCGTACCATTGTACAAGCTATGGGGGCGTGTGTGATGTAAGAGTACTGAACTGAAGTAGGTGCGTAAGAGACTTGCAGCATTTATGCAGAAGATTTTGAAGAACAACGGGGTCGTTGAAGGGCACGTAACATTGCATCCATCATGGGGGTTTGTTGAAATACAGCGCATTACTGCTGCAGGATGTGTGTAGTAGAATAGATACAGCTGTATGATTTCTGCATGCAATGATACGTACATAGATGCGGTGTGATATGTGACGTTTGGTAAAACGGAACATGTGTGACGAGTTCTAGCGAGGAGCTCACGAATGAATTGATGGTTGAGGAGAGGATTGTATTTGGAGCGAGATCACGACGTGTTGCGAGCCCCACCGGGTTCACTCCCCGACTATCCCTCAACGCATCAACTCTCCGACGGAGCTAGGCTCCGGTGCCACCGGCAGGCAACAATGAAAGCCCCACTGAGGCACTGAGCCAACCATGATACCATTTAGTCTTGACGATTGCAAACAGGCTTATTTAACCTCCTGTAGACACGACCCTTGGGTACAGGGCACCTCGACACGACGCCTTTCTACAATCACCGTCCAGCGTTTGTGTTTTTTTCGCACCGCCAGTCCGTATTTGTGTAAGCGCTGGGGGTTGTGGCAAAGTGCTCTCACTCCGCGTTGCTAGTGGATGCCTACAAGTAGCACAAACACACGTCGTACCGAGCAAATCGGCTTTGTCTGTGGTATCATCTGCAAAGGTACGTTTTCCAACAGGAATTGCTGTGCACGTAGGCGCCTGGAATAGCAGGTGCACCTAACCCATTGCCCTTCGCGCCGAATTATTCGGCGCGGCGCGGCCTCGTGTCTAGGAAAACAGTTCAACGATTATGATACACGTCCACGATAGTTAGCGCCCGCAAGAGATTCACTATCCAAATCTCTGACACCAACAAATCGTGAAGTGGGTGTGTAACCCGCTCTAGCCGAAGGTGCGACTGAACAACCAGCCGTGGTTACGGATTATTCGCGCGGGGAAGAGATGACAGTAGAGTTCCCCGGCTACCGTCGGCTGGTTAGTCTACAGTAGTAAGGTCGGTAGCCAAATCAGAATCCAATATGGAGAGGCAGCAATGTACTCCGCCATACACGCGCGAGGTATGCACGCCTGAAGGTCGCCCGTGTCATTTTATACCACGCTCTCACTGCCATGCTGTACACGAAAAGAATGTCGCCTCACGTACCCCAGGGTGCAAGACCAAACGAAACCACGGCACACCGTTAAGAACGCCAGAACGAACACGTTGCACAGAGCTGCTCTCTTGCTGACAATTGTTTGCTGTGAAACTTCAACTTCTCCCGTGTCCTAAAAACCTACCCACACACTCATGAAAACCAACAGGATTTCAATCAATACTTCCTCACCATCCACTCCAGCAAGTCGGGTGTGTCTCTTTGATTCAACCGAGACACCCGACGCAAACGCGACCGAGGAACCCCACGTGATATTCTCAAAAAAATACGAACCTGTGTACACGGACATGTTTCGCGCCTATTATTGACAACGACGCGGTGCGATCTACACGTAGACATTGTCAACCCTTGAACAAGCAACTCACATCAATGGCAACCACACGTAACCTTTACATCTACATACCGCTGAAGCGTACACAATACTATATGTTGATGGACTGCGGGACCTTGTCGGGAAGCAGTGTCGTGTACCCGAAGTTGGCGGCGGCTTTCTTGCCCTTGCCTCTCTTGCGCCAGGAAGACACAACGAAGGCGTTCCTGCCAGGCATTGGATTATGAAAGGGCGGAACTCGCCATGACAAAAAAATAACAAGGATATGTTTACCGTCGAAAGCAAGGTGCCGTCCCGTCCCCTATAGCGTTTGGCAAGGTTCTCAACCTTGAAGACCCTATGATCGAATGATGCAATCGCTCAAGTAACACGTACGGCATCTACAGTCACGTGTTTCGAATTCACGCCAAATGTGTGCACACATCAATGAAGACAGGCGACCGGATTCGATGGTGCGACGAGAGGGCTGAGATACAACAACCTGCCGCCCAAAAATAAAAATGAAGAGACGCGATGAAAGATGGAGGACAGAACTACTGCTGAACGGCGAAAAGAGTCGTCCCTTCTTCTACCGCGGTAAACTGAAATCCAAAGACCAACGCGCATGTTTCGGTAGCATTCAGAACAACACTTAGCTCCGAGTTTCCCTTGTATGAGGATGAAGCGAAAACCCAAAATATCTGGAAAAGCCAAGCTCGCCCATGATGATGTTCGTCCGGAACCGCTAGACATCAGTATGCACATGCATGGCACCACCCTGGTATTGGCGTGGGACCTCCTCGCCGCTACGGTTTCTGTAGTATAGGTACATTGCAGAGGCAGCGGAACGTTTCGCTTCGTGTTTAGGCAACCCGACTTACTCGTCAACCATGTCGGTTTCGATGTCCTCGATGGCCTGCTGGAACTTAGCGAGGGGGGCCTGGACACGTTTGTCGCTGAACTGGCTCGCGTCGTAGTCGCCCAGCCTGAACGGTTCGTACCCCACAGGAGAAATGACAAGAGGTTCCAAGTCGCAAGAATCGCACACATAGAAACAGCAAAAGGCCGAAAACTGGAAAGCGCTGAGGATCGCACGTTGTGTTACAGCGGACGACGAAACCGAATCGACTGCTGTGTGTCAGCCCGCGCTTAGTAGCTGAACCAATCCTCTCCAACGAGTTCTGCTGATATTCTGCAACTCGCTGAAACGCAGATGGAACACCACCGTCGTTGCCCCTAAGTTGATTGGGACTGATAGCGGTAGGCTAGACATGGACGATGGTGACGCCACTCCAACATCGACATATCGTAGTTGTACACGCGCACCCCGTGAAGCAGCAATATACATGGGACATGAAAAATGACGAACAGTACCAACCTGGTTTCTTCGGGGTCCAGAACTGATCCACACTCCCACGACATGAGTATCGAAAAAATTTCAGCTAGCCGTTTGAGGTATTCTCCTCCAGCACGGCAAACAACATCTAAATAGAACGATGCAGGACGCTTAGATCTTGAACCGAAAACCAGACGAAAATAATCCAACCACACATCAATCGAGCAACACAAAGACCAACAATACCGAGGCTGCGCCACGCATCATGGTAAGAAAAAGGCTGAAATGCAACCGTGTTGTTCACGGTTCACGTTGGCTTCGTCGTGGTTCGGGCTCACTTGGTGTGGAAGACAGTGCCGAGAATGTTGCCGGTCACGACCTGTTCCGCTGCAATCTCGAGGGGTGGGAGATAGGCCAGGTACTCTTCGAAGCTCCTCTTCGTCTGGAAGCAAGTCGCAATGGTCATCGTCACGTGGAATACGCGCAAGTCATTACTCCGGCGGACCTGTTCTTTCATAATTGATCGCGAAACCGATCCCAGTCGCCCCCCTGCGATGCCAATTCGAAGACGAAATACGGAGATTTTCCGCGAACGCTCACCTTGTCAGTGGGGGGTGGCACGTAGATCGAAGGGGGGTTGCCGGGCACGAACGACATGATGGGCTGCTGAGGGAAGTTGACCGCGGCGTGCAGGACGCTTGCAGAGTAGATCAGACTCGCCAATACCTACGATATAGGTAGAGGTCGGACAGAGAATTCCAAGAGAATGGCATTAATAGCCCGATTGGAGCCAAGCGAAGAGTTAGCATTGGCGAGAGACAGGATTCAACCTCATGCAAGACTCCGTCCTGCGATAGGGTAGAATGGGATATGCTCAGACCGCATGGTGCCGGAAAACGGTACACCGCGAAACTTCATGGCCAGGAATGGTCCTCTGCTGCCGTTATGCCGTCACCCGGCATGTTGCCAGGACAACCGCTTCCCCAACAGTATCCTCTTGTGGCCCAGTTGATCCGCACCTCTCCTCGCTGCCAACGCGCCTCCAAGCATGGCACTGTTTCCACTTGAAAAGGCATGCGATGGCCAGGCGATCGCTTCTTGTCAGGAACATCAGCAACATATTCTACAATAGTCCATCCCACCACTGCCAAGTAGCCAACCGCTCTTGTGAACTTGAGGGTACTCACCATACATTCAACGATGATTACAAGACAGGGGTAAAAAAAAAAGCACAAAAGAATGAGCGCAATCATCGCCACCGCAAAGAACTCAACTCTATTTTGTACCATTGTTCGTCTCAAGGTAGATGCCCCCTTCTGGAATAAAGGATCCGTGACTTGCGGCACTACTCCCGAGCCAACCTAGGCCTGGCCTGTTTCTTGCCTTCCGGAGGCACTCAGCGTCAAACTCAAGCCTCTTGGGAAGACTGAACCACTCTGACTAGTCCTAGCTGACCTGTGTGCACTGCCAGAGACCATATTTAGTCACTCTGGGTAAGAGGTGAGATTGGGCTGGTGAATGAACGTGAAAAGAACTTCAACAACAGTAGTAACAACAAACGAACCTTAGCGAGGAAGACTTTCTTGTCCGCGGAATTTTCCAATTCCGCAAGCCATTTCAGCTCTCCCACGGTAACAAGCTCCTTCACGAACGCCTGCAGGATGGCGGGGGTACATAGTCAGATGCCAATACACTCGACTGAGCCAACACGTTGACTGCCAATAGATGGTGAACGGAAATGTGGCCTTGGCCGAACGGGATCGCAAGCATTTCGATAGGAATTCATCATGTGTCGATCTTCGCTTTGCGTACCACGAAATTGGACGGCGCCGACAACCCTCAAGCCACTACGAATCGAATCGAACCAAGTACAGTCGTAGATCGACCACAGTATGGGCTCGAGCAATCATCACTGCATCTGGTCGGTTTGCTCTCGTGGCAGTCGTACCCTCCAAGCTCGCCCCCCAGACCCCATTACTATACTATTTTGACGACACCCTCAGAGCGAAGGAATGAAACGAGTGCGAAGGCTGCCGAGCTGGCTTACAGCATAGCCGGACGAGCACGAAATGAAGGTGAAGTCTTCAGAACATCGAACCGGACTAGCACTCGCAATGACAAAGGAGGAAGGGTCTCAAGCCTGACCTGCAACTCGTAGTCATCGCTGATGTCGACGTCGGAGCTGTAGTACACCTGAAGAGCCAGAGAAAACCAGGCCATAGTTTACGAAGGGACGTGAAGTATTATTTGAAGACATATCTGTACACCCATCATAGCAAGGGAACGCGACCAACTGTTGCAGGAAACAACGAGCAGGAGTCGCTGAGCAAACAAACCATATTACCTCCAGGCACCACGACTTTGTTCAGCCGTTGGCACAAGCACCTAATAACCTGACACCTGCGGACGCTAGACAACGATCATATCACACCAGCATTCCATCTCAAAATGGTGAATATCATAGAACGTTTCCATCCAGAGCTTCGGGTACGTTCCAGGATTGGGGGTAGGGGGTGAGCAGCGTTGGCCCATCGAACCGGTAGCTGACAAAGCCAAAGTGGTCAAGTGGCTGGCCTCCTTCACGCATGCAACACACAAGCAGACTTTCGCGGCTGCACGTGAGGTGGGCCTGACTCACGTCGAGGTAATCCTTCACCCAGGTGTGTATGGCCTCCCAGTACTTGAGCCCGACATCGCGGTACTGGTATCTTCCAGGGAAATCCGTCTTGGTCACACCGCGAGCAGCGAAATCGACCTCCGGCGAGAAATCCTTGGAGATGCGTTCCAGGGTCTTGTGCGGGAAAAAAGAAGGGGGAAAGGAGGCGCAACCATTGTGGTCGAGGCATTGACGAAGCGCTTCGAGGTGTTGAGTTAGGTACGCTCAAGGTGCCAGCCACCTCGGAGAAATGACACGGAAACCAGAGGATGCTGCGGAATAGATGCGCGCATGGGTGAAGGCGGGGTTCTGAATATCGATGAATACGTTCAAGTGATTCACAGGGATAGAAGAACTCCAATACTAAGCCTCATTTGCCCTTAACGGCGGAGTAAGCCAGAACATTCGCTTCCAACCATGATAGCTACTCTGGTGACGGACGGAAACATACCTGGCTCCGAGTTAACGCCCAGGCATATTCGATCTTGGGGGCCAGCAGCCTGTCCACGCCTCCATCTACTTCCATCAGGAGCTGAACGGCCGATCACGATATTCGCGAAGTGGAAGGTTGAAAGCATCAGCCACGGGTGAAAACAATGTTTGTTGCTGCTACAATGTGTCCCAATGCGATGAAACGATTGTGGCGAGGAGAAAGTCGAGCACGCACTTGTATCTTCGTGCGCCTAATCATCATGAAGGATCCGTGCTGTATCCTACCAGGTACAGGGCAAGCGAGCGTGAAACACAAAAAAGAGAATGGCACCGGCAAGAGCGACGTATGCCATGAAAGTGTCAGTTGCTTGCTTGCGTGCCACTCGTTTCGCTATTCACTGTCGCCCCGTGGGCCCTCGCGATCCTTCAGCTCCCAGCCACACCCTGCCACCTAGTGTGTGACGATCCCAAACCGGCTGGCGGCGGCACTCTGACCCCGTTGATCCAACCAATCACCCGCCCGTCGACACTGTACCCCTGTATGCCTTGTTCTCTTCTAGGGTTGCCTCTAGGTCTCCCAACTCTGCCAACCCACAGCCTTCATTCTTTGCGACTCCGCTGTACAACGGGTTAGTGGGTGAGGCCCGTGGTACGCCGCAGCTGCACCGCAGCAAAACTTGTACCCACGTGCCTCATCACAGCCCATGGGTTGGACACTAAATTGACCTAACCCGATGTGCGGGGCGGAGGCCAGGCCGCGGCTTCACTGGTTGGCTCCCTGTTCGGTACCCTTGTTGTTGCCCAATACGGCGAAGAGTCGAGTTGTAACGACGTGTTGAACGGTACATGTTGCAATTGCGAATATTAATTGCGTTTGAAGACACGAGGTGCGCCCTACAGCTAAGTGAGGCAATTAAAATCCTCAAGCCTAGTAAAAGGGCATGGTCTTCAAGTCACTAACGAACGGAAGCGTGTGATATCAACTGCTAAACAAGCTGATAGCTATAGCTAGGTGTTGCAGCTTGGAGAGGAAAAATCCAGGATATTCTCTTGCTCTCAAGAGATGTCAGAACCTGGACAGATCTATCGAAGTAGTAGTACTTACGGCTGTGAACGGGTACGAATTGAAAATGGCCAGTTGGTATACCCAACCGCAGCATTTACAGCAATCTAAACAACAGGAGAGACGGCTGAGTCCAACAAGAACGCAGGCTGCATGGAAAAGGTTTTGCAGGGCTCAGGCAAGGCCGTGTTGCATGGGTGTTGTTGTTGCTCTTGAAAATCAAATCCAGACACCGGACGGACGATGTTCCCACCTCGTCCGCCCCCCAGTTGATGAGGGCCGTTCCTTCCACGTGTGGAGCAAAGAGGGCATGGATGGGGTGTTCCTTGGGAAGCTGACGATACATGCTGACCATGGGGGCCTCCAACACAATGTGCGTGTTACCCAGGTGGGACACCACCTGGTGAATGCTGATCGCCACGTCAAGTCGAACAGCAGGGAACGCAATGAGACAGCCAAAAGTCGGAAATCGAGTCTGTTTTGCTTTCCTGGGTGAAGCGAGGGAAGGGAGAAAACAGGCATCCCTGCTACAATCGAAGACGCTGTGTCGACCGCAGCAACTACGTGCGCATTACTAACGCACGGCTTTACGAAGTATGCAACGTCTTGGACCGCATCATCTTACAACGGATCACGCCTACAACAGCTCGCACAACACAGTGCAATGTTGGGGAGAGTTGGTCGCGCGCGGATTGGTTGGTGGTCTCACACGAAGTCAGCCGCTTCGAAGCACGCTTTGGCGATTTTCCAGTTGTACCCGTCGTCAGGAGTGAAGATTGGTGCTGCCGTCTCGCCCTGGCTCAGCTGCACGGCGGAGATATATTCGGGGTTACTCGCGAGGTAGCAAAGATTCTGTCATTGCTCAAGTACATGCTCAATCTGAATTCTCTGTGCAATCACCATGAAAACCCCAGCAAGCAAGCGGCAAAGGGTTGACAGGACAATAGGGACTCCATCGAAGCGGACACCGGTAAAGCATCAGCCAGCGGCCGTCGATACAATACTTTTTGAAGTAGAAATGGACAATCATCCGTACACGCGAAGAAACTGTGCATACAATGGAGATCATTGAGGTCTGTTGCTGACGGGCGAGACACCTTCAATAATTCGTCTCGTCACGGCTGTGCTGACACGTGCATCCTAGCACACACCCTTACCCTAACGGGCTGCAAGGGCCATCCCGTATCACTACTCGCCCAAATGTTCACAGCGAAAGTGACCGACCGAGTCGATTTCGTATTGTCTGAACCATCTCCAACTAAAGTGATGGTACCAAAACCGGTGTCACACTCTCATCTCTGTGGTGCCCTGGTATGTATGCCCTACACAAATCACACGAGTTTCGAGCGAGTCTCTGCTGGAAACGTGTGTATCGAGATGCTTCCAACAAGTAGGTGCCATTGCTTCCATTGCTTCAGCGAAGGGAAATTAAACGTCATGGAAGGAAGGAAGAAGCTCCAAAGTAGAAAACGCTAAGAACGAGCTAACTGCAATCGCTGCCGCACCTGTATCCCCAAGGGTTTGAGCGGAAGCAGCTCGTCATCCACAGCCTCGAAAAGCGCCACACTAGGTGCCACGTACCGAGGGATACCTTCCAGGGGAGAAGTTTCCACGTCCTGGAATCACCGAGATTTATCAAAAGGTAGGTAAGTCACAGTATGGAGGTCATCCTCCCGGGTATGGAACAACCTTCGAAGCGTAGGCACCCTATCAGCATTAAACGTAGAGGAAACCAGAAAAGAAAGTATGCCAGGATTCTTAGCGAACGACCTACGTTGGGGGAAGACGTTACTCAGGCGATGACCTCGCACGACGTCATGAGATCTACATTCTGTCTGCTCAGCGAGATCATCCATGTACAGACACCAGGTAGGGCGAACAAGGCAAGCCAAAGTCTCACAGATTGCAATCCCAAAGTCCCCGTAGAACAGGCGTTGCTTCACTCTGCTGTACTTGGCTTGCATGTGGTTCCAAACCGCAAGACTTGTTGAAAACATTGCGTTCACTGACTGCATTGCCACCATTGTGACACCTTCGAGCTCTATCGATTCCCGGATTTCCAGCAACTGGTTCATCACCATACATGACTGATGTATTAATGCGCTCAACAAGGTCGCAAAAAACGAAAGGGAGACGCCACATCCAGGCACATCCAGGCACTTACCAATTAAGCACAACATCCAGGCACTTACCGCCCGCCGGCGTACGTACCTTGATGAGGTGATGATCTACAACGAACAGCTTTCCGTCCTTCATGAGAGAGTCCACCTTGTCCTTGAGGTTCTGCAGGACAATCACGACAACCACGAAAAGCAAAACAGACGACCATCATGTCCGTAAATGGCAACATCAGACGAAGCAGAACAACCGAGGTAGATGAACAGAACGGTACGCGCCGGTGTCTATGTCGGGTCAAATGTCGTCTCTAAACCCGTGCCCCACGCCACTGCCACGAGCCGACGAAGAGTCTCATCCGCACTGTACCTTATAAGATGGGTCGGAGTCGAGAACCTTGAGCTTCTGACGGGTGGTTGTGGAGCACTTCTCAAGCACCACACAGTTCGGGCCTAAAATAGCACATTTCGGATATGAATAAACGGGGAAATGAAATTCAGGGTGTGGATATTTAGGCCACTTGCGTCTTGTGGGTCTTTTTCGACCCTTTAGGTAAGCAATACTCTACGTCAGTGGCATGGGTGTCCAACACCACGCTCTGATCCAAGCATCTCGTCAAATTGTCTGATGCAAACATCTCGCCACACTGTATTGGCGCAATATTTGCCACAAAACGGTCCCAACTGCTGATACTATTTCCAGCAAGATTTTGGATACCCGTTCTCTTCTAAACTGATCCTCGTTGTTCTGGACGAGATGCCCTGTGATGGGACGTTTATTTACCCCTAGTCTTAACCCTACCCTGGAGGCGCTGCCGGGTGAAGGCGTCGTCCTCATCGAAGTCGTACATGGCATCAGGTGTCTTGATGGGGAAGGCGTGGAGGTCTTCGTAGTCGTTGATGTTGACCGGCTGAATAGAGGTGTCGGGGAAACGTCGTAGTTGGCACTTGTACGCTATCGCGGGGGAAGACTGTTTGCTGCCGAACACAACCATTTGGTTTCTGTTGTGTGCCATGTCCATTGTCGAATACCGTCAACGCCGGCCGGGGCTTAGGATGACGGATTGATTGGGGTTGGCACGACCCAACTTCCCCCGATGCGCAATGTACACGAGTCACATTCAGTGGGGCCGAGCGCACGATGGCCGAATCAAAGCAGAAACCGAGCACACAATCACTGTAGGCATATGGATTTGCGATATTTCGTCGCGAATCGACACGGTTCTCCAGCAAATAAACCAGGGCTGCACACGCATTGACCACGGGCAACCTGTCACGAACTAACTTTTCATCCCACGACTACTACAACTATTACAACTATTACAAATACAACAACAAAACCTCACTCGTTCGTTAACTTTCGCCTCGCCGATGAGCTCCCGAAGCCTCTTCACGAAGTTCTTCGCCCTCGAGGGATCTGAAACGGCCTCAATGATCTCCCCGATACCAATCGTTCCCCTGACAGTGGAACGAGGAATTGTCGGGCGAGGCAGCAATGCAGACCATCATCGTTGGCACAATACACCAACCCTAACCGTTCTCTCAGCAATACATATCCCTTACATAACCGGGACATACGAAAGTGGCTTGGTGAGCGGGCTGGAGGGGAAGGGGAAGCCAACAAAACGTTTGCTCCAACATTGTCGGCGAGGTGGCGGCAGAGGAGATGTGCGAGGCGGTGCAAGTCGCTACAACAAGAATGAGGTCCACCTGAGGGTGGGGTTTGCAGGCTGGCCGACGTTGGGTAGCTTGTTGCTTGTGCTAACCTGGTAGCCCCAAGGTTGGCTCGGATGATAGCGCCCGCCAGCTTAGTGACCCATGAAACACTCGGGCGTTGGTCGTCGGGGGGGAAGCCTTCCAGGAAGGGCATGTCGATCGGAGTGCGCTGTCGTCGCTCAACGCATTTTTTCGGAATCAAAGCAAAGTTGCAACAGCACGACGGCTCCGTGATGTGAATTATCACTGAATGGGGTGCAAATTCGGGCCGCAATTCTACAACCTACACTAGAGCAAACGTGAACAATACAAAACGTACACCTTTCGTCAAAACCTTCAACTGTAGGTTGCAGTGTGGGAGCACGTATCGGCCAAGAAATCTCACTTGGAAGAGTCGACGATAGAACAACTTTTCCAAAGCAAGAGGTGGGCGTCAGAGTTCGAGTACGACGAAAACTTGGCCTTTCGTGTGGGAGTGTGAGGGTTATGAAAGGGGTTCCCGGTAACGGACATTGGCCAGGGTACTCAACACCTATGGCGACATGTAGGAGTAGCAAAAAAGACACGATGAAAATATTTGAGGGAAGTGTCAATCACGAAAATAACGCGTGTTAGATGAACAGAGTTACGACTTAATGCAAGTGTTTCCCAATTACCAAACCCTTCTTGCATATCATGTTGGGTTACCAATTTCGGGTTGAGACTACAAACAACCCAACATCGCACGTATTGTTTTACCGCTCGCCCATAGAATCCAACCCGGACCCATCTCTGTACCCGCTCACCCTTTCCCTGAAGACAAAGTCTTTCCGTGCCGCCTCAAGCTGATTCTTGCGACCTGCCGTGTCTGCCTTCGGGTCTTGGGGAAGACAGGTCTCCGCATTAGGGGATTCTGGAAGCGCAGCAACCAACAGGACACACGCAACCGGTTACAAAGGAATAGACACGCAGAGGCGGCCTGGACTAAGCTTCGGAGCTCGGAGTAAACACGCCTCAGCATCCCGCACGAACGTGCAAGCAATTGTCGCCACTGGAGATCGGCATGATGGGCGTCCATGGAGACCACCACCAACAAAAACTAAATGCTTTCCCGCACACGGTTCGGGCTTGGCCGATGTTACGAATGCAATGCATAGCGAAGCGTCAAACCCCTGTGCCCCGGGTGACCCCTCCACGAGTGTGCCCCTTTCACACAGGCTGACTGATGTTTGCATCCCTCTGTTGTGTCGTCGTAACCCTAACCTTTACGAGGCTCCCCCCCCAATCGGGAAAGCTGGGGACAAGATACCCAAGAGTGCAAGACCTCTGCGTGTATTCAAAGTGAAGGCCAAACCGCTCCGGAATCATTTACAATTTTGTAGTCCCGCACAGGAGTGGCACTTGAAGCATTTCGCTGGGAGAGTCAAGGCTACCCACCAAACAAATATGGGTGCAAGAGAACACTAAATCAATAAAAATACCAAAACAATCATCAAATCGGCCCAACATCCTCACCGAACAGACCGATCAAGCTCGAGAACATGGATGAGAAACCGTCCAACAGCCCCCCGCCTGCAGTAGTCTCTTCCGTCGCGATCGGGGCTGCACACGAGCCCTCTCCGCCTGTGGCGGAGCAGCTGCCATCCTCCGCCGCGGCCGCTGCGACACCGATGGCGTAAGGTCTGCCGGCGAGAAGTCCAGATAGCGCGGTCGCTGCAGTCGCTACCGCCAGTATCGCTGTCTTTCTCGAGGAGCCCATCTGCAGAACAAGGGTATTCCAATACGGTCACACACACATTGACATGCTAATCCATGATAAACGAACGGTGTGCCACCATACGGATGACGACGTCGCGATCTCGTCCGTCGAACACGCACGCTTCCAGGCATTCCATTGGCACTTCCGGTGACATGAGCTTAGATTAAACTCCACGAAGTGAAAGTAGTTAGTGTACAACCTCAACCTCATCACACTAACTCAAACATTGTCTCAGAAGCACCGCCCATAAAGGTAGCGCAGATAAAATAGCTCGAAGTTGAGCAGCCCTCCCGAACGTTCGTTGGCAGTTCGGATACGTATCTCTATCTTATCCGGGGTCGCGTGGCGCGAAGCTCAACCACATGTAACTGCCGTCGGAGACAGACTGATGACGTTCGGAGGGTTGTGCGACTGAGTGCATCTGGCAGACAGGCACATTGAATAACGACAGGGCGGAAACGTCGCTGCTCGACGTTGTGCTCTCCACTACAACGGTAACGGCCTGCCTGAAATACTGTAGCCACCTGCATTCGACCCAGGCTAATGAACAATAAACGCTGGTGCAGCAGGATAGCCCTTGAAACGGCCTTTTGCCTACCTCTAACATGTCAACACAAAGTGTGCCCACCTCCGATCGGAGACTTGGCCAATTGCTTTCGGGGCGTTTGCGCCCTCGTATGCATCGGGTGACCCACGTCAGTCAGCACTTGGCAAGTACACAGCGTGATACTAAGAACCGTAAAATACCGGGGGTAATTTTTGCGTCTGCCCTTCTACTGGATCTCTCGGAGACAGTACGTATGTTATGTATTGTTCTGTGGCAAAGCGAGCTGGGAGGGCTCCGTGCCAGAACCTATAGAAGCCGAAACCGAACTATTTACACTAGTCACCGCTGACTAAATAGTCTAATGATTTGATTTCGGCTTCTAATCAAACCATTAGACTAGTCAGCGCTGACTAGTCTAATGGCTTGATTTCGGCTTCAATAGACCCTAGCTTCCGAAAATAAAACACCTGGCCACTTGTCCACCGTGAGCAACACATGCCATCGCTCCCAAGGGGCGCGATACCGACGTGATCGAATCAACCACGACGTGCTTTTGACATGTAGCCCTCTCCAGCTTCGACGCACAGCACTGGACAACACCAAACGGAATGTGAAGAGTTTGATTCAAGGCCACCAGAACATGAAGAACACCACCACCACCGCTCTGAATTTTGTTTTGAACCATCTCCTGTATTGCTTATTGTTGCTTCTCAAAAAAAATTACTGTAGCAGACAGCAGTTATGATTCCAGGTTCAGAACCGCACGAGAAGAGTAAGAGTCGCGGTTGATGACCTGCGAAGGAAATAGCAACCCAAGCCGCGAAACAAGGGACGAAGAAGTCGCGCAGTGGCGCGTACCGTAAATTGTCCCACAGACCGATCACTCTCGCGAGATAACTCCATGACCAAGAGGATGCCAAATCAAAACAACATGTTTTCCGGAAGCCCTCGACGAGGCGGTGTTCACACCACCAGTTTTGGCAGCGTCCAATTTCGAGCTTTGAAGATCGGTGCAGGGGGTGCGGTATCTTAAGCAAGGCAAATAATTTCATACCGCTATTTATGTGCGTACGTACATTGTTCATATGAGAGGTGCAACAAAAGCATCTCAACAAAGGGTAGTCTTTGTATGGTGCATAGTAGAGATATATGCTGAACTTGTTCTGAAACGCATCATCAGCTATGTACGTACACAACACACAACGGCAGAAACAGAACAACTCAGTGCATGATGCGCATAGCGAGGAACCAGGAACCAGGAAACACGTGAGGTACATACTGTAGGCACGCGGTCTCCAGAAACCACACCGGCCAAGCGGCCACCAGTCCAGACCACCTACAGAAAAATTCTGGCAGATTACTTCGACGGCAAAGGGTGTTTGTGGAAGGCAAGGGATCAAGAGACGTCAGAACCACTGTGTGCAGGTCGCGACGCGGCTTGGACACCTGCGGCGGGTGTGTGTTGGTGTGTGATTACACTTGGCTCGAAGACGGTGAGGACACGTACATACCCTGCTCACACGGCCTCCCCTCCCCCTCAGCCCAACTACAGCAGCAGTAGCCGCCGCAAACGAGAACGCATTTGGCAAGAGAGTTATGTCTTCAAACCCGGTTGTTAGTCCGAAACTATGGATATGTACATATGCATGATATGCCTCATCCATGGCACAGCAGTAGTAGACATCATACCCACAGAGATACACGGCGGTTTGGGCGAAACAGCAGGCGACAGCAGTTGTTGCGGGACGTTTCGCGACGACTTCCCCGTCACGGCGAAAAACAAGACAAAAAACGCCCTTGCTTTGGGCTTTGGGGCTTTGGTCACACCAAGCTGCTGCTGGGCTGCGGCAGCTACATGCGGCAGCTACATACTGCTGCTGGGCTCAACTGTCCCAATAGCCCCTACCCAACGAGTACCTTGCTTGGATGCGTCTACTCTCCATCTACAGCAGTGTTGCTTTTGCATCTTGCTCTGTCGCTACTGCTGTTATACAATACGGCAGTAGCTCTTTTCCTATGCATGCTCTCTCTCTCTCGCCCCCCTCGACCCCTCCCATGCATAGTCTACAGCCCCCACCGCTGCTGCACCGCATAGAGATCATAAAGGACTTTGATGAAGACGGCACCAGCAACCACAGCAGTAATGTGTTTCAGTGTTTCGTGTTTCGTTGATACATTGTATACAGCTGCTGTTATAAAAGGGGTTTCGCCGCCTGTGCTTGCTGTGGTTGTGCACTCTGTGTACACCGCATTACCCGCATGACCGGAAATTCAACATACCTTGACTCTCTCTCTCTCCTTCTCTCTCCGCCTCTCTCTCCCCCTCCTGCTTGTGCAAGCGTTGCTGCCCCGCGCAGTTGGGAGTTAGTCCTCTCTGCAGCAGCCAGGGAGAGGGTGTCAGGGTGCTGAAGTGGGCAGCGGCGTGAGGGTGATTTTTGTTTCTCCGAACAACAAAAAAAACAGCCGATTTTCGGATCTTCCGTCTGCGGCGCCCTGGGATGTATGCGCGGAGGCGCTCTGTCTGGCTTCTAGCACAGCTACGTACATAATAACGCATTGCATACGATGCATACTGTACTACATCGGAAAATATGCATATTATATTGGGAAAAATCTAACAGATGTAGACGAGCAAGCAATACATGTACATAAACCCAGTATTTCGCCTCTACCGACCGATAAATAATACAAGCCAGGCCTCGGTAAGTCACGGTAACCAGACAACAAGTAAATTGCGGACAAATGGCACGTCATGTTTTTTTTTTTTCTCCCATCATTGGACTCTGTCGCTCTGTCGTCTCTGGCCCCCATCCTCCACTTCTACTAGCTACGTAGGCGACCCAACCGGGGTCACATAGGAGGGGGGGTTGGACCCCATCCTGCGGTTCGTTCCTGCCTGAGATATTTTTATCGCCAGAAGGTACAGCAATCCCTTCCCTCGCGACTCAGGAGTCGATCTAGACTAGTATATACTAACAACGACCTTTGCAGCGCGTCGCTTCCAACTTAGACCAGGATTTATTCAGTGAGAAAAAGAACTCACTTCTGCCGGGACTCGAACCTATGACCTGGCCCCTAGTAGAATGCGAGGGCCCACTAGACCATGTAGTATGTGCCCGTTTGTCCGACTGTGGGAACTTGCGAACGTTCCGAGGGTTCCAAGATATGTATATTTAGTTCACGGTTCCCGTTCCTTGCCGGATCATCTACGTATCTCCTCGGACGTGTCGAGGACAGACGTCCGCCACGCTGGCGCGCTCCAGTCCGAACTCTCCCAAACTACAGCTTGTTGTACTGCTGTAGCCTGCTCTGAAAAAATCCTGGCCACATTTATTTATTTTGACCGCAAAACTTTGACCGGAGGAACGGCGGCGGCAGCCGCCGGTCATTATTAGGCGGTGACTACAGCCGCAGTACTACTATGAGACGGTTGGCTCCAGGTTCAGGTGTGGGCAAGTTTCCTTTGGGATGTATGTGTGGTGTGGATACACACCGCCGGTTCAACCTCTGGTGGAGAGGCTGACGAGTACGGATAGTTGTGTTGTGTGTCAGCTGGGGAGCAGCCTTGTGTTGAAGCAAGGTACAGCATCCAACCTACACTGACTCTTTCTGAGGCAACACCCCGAAGGTAGATCTCCGACAGGTCATCTGACGTCACAATCTACGACAGTCTGAGGTGGCATTCACAGCACCCCCCTATCTTGAATCTCGGGGCCTGAACCGGATTGGAAGCTAGAACAATGACATAAATACCCCAGATTGTATGGAATTGTAAAGTATTGATGAAAAACATGAGTTAAATGACTTAGGCCGTATCGTACAGCGACTGACTGCCAGCATTCAACGACAGCAGTAGTACAGCATCTACGGCAGGTCACCTTCTTTCTGAACATATTGATTGCTCCTCCGATTTTCTTTTTTCCTGGAGAGAGAGGCTGCAGGAGGTCCCACACAAATCGAAGCAATTGAGCGCCGGCAAAAGAGACGTCTACAAATGAATACTGTATGTAGGCGGAAGATCACGCGGTTTGAATTTCCCGACACCCACCTTGAATCCCAATTCCTTTATTTTCATTGGTCCCACTGTAGCATCTCGATCTTGCATGTAGTCTACAGGAGGCTGGTGTGCCGTAGTACACAGACAGACAACAAGCATTGGGAGGGACCATAATCAGATCTTGATAAAATACACAATTAATTCATTCATCAGATACAACATCTTCAAGCCCATGCGAAGGTGTACCGATTCTGGTAAAAAAAGTCAATCGACGGATACCCTGCGAATTGGGTCCTCCTTAACACTCTCCACCCACAGAATTTACCCTCAACTGGGAACCTCTTGTGGCCAGGACGGGTAATTCGATGGAAGTGTCACAAGGTTCTTTATAGGATCGATTCCAAGAGGTGTTCTCAGGACTGACACGCATTGTGTCCATGGGAAAATGTCTAAGTCAGGAGAAAAAAATGTGCACCCAAGGAGATTCGAACCACCAGTATCCTGCCGCTGACGCCAAGTTTAAAGGAGGTGAAGCCGTGGGCGGTAGCTTGCTCCTAGAGATAGATGAAGGTAGGTTCTGTCGTTGACTCGCTTGTCTACGACCACGTTGAGATGGGAAAGTTGCTTGTTATTGCTGAGAGACGATCAGCAAGGGTCTGAGGTGAAGGGGGGATCCAACTTCACCTCAGGGGGTACACAGACTATGTTAGTGCACTGCCGCCCTCAGCGGTCTGTGGTGTTGAGACTGGGGACTATGTTATCCCAGGAACAGCTGATAAAAAAGGACCATGTATTATTGTATATATCCGTCACGCAAGCCCCTCAGGCAAGCTGGTATTCGGCACGCAAGCCCCTCAGGCAAGTGCCGGGAGCACACCGCTATGTGCTCCCGGGGGCCCCGCACTTGGACCACAACCGCATACATACCCTCACACCCATACTTCCCATACGCGTATCCCCCACAGAGGATGCACAGATCAGACTCATATCCAAGTACCACAAACAGCCCCCCTACTTGATACATACGATGTACGATCTTGCAACCAATGCAAAAACGCAATCAGCAAACATAGAAAAGCACCCCTTGAGAAAACTTATTCAACAAAACTTGCTACGCATCCAAAACAAAGCGTCTCCATCAGTTTATTCACGAATCCAAAGCGTTCGTCTCTGGAAATAATCTCAAACCGTTGACGCAAAAGAATCATCCTCAGACAAGTACCCAACAATTATTTGTGCTACACCAGAAAGGCGTCGGAACGAAAACGGATTTCTGGAAAAAAACAACTTCCAACAGAGTTGACACCAAATCCTCAAACAAAACAAAAACTCAACTTCTTGACCAATCAAAACGAGAATTCGGAAAGCACAATGGCTCCAACCATTAATCGTCAAAATATGTCAAACCCTTCCTCCAATACCAAATCCTAAACAGCGCGCACCCGCTAATCGGTACCGTCGCTGTTGTCCAAGAAACGATAGAAAATATAAGCAAGCATCCACGCAAACAGCCCCCCTGCTGTCAGCTCCCAAAATTCACCCCGAGCTAATATCTCAATGTCAACAGTCCCCCCTGCTTTGCCGTTCACCTAAAGCACAAATAGACAAGGCCAGAAAACGAACCAATTCGATTGCTGCTCACGCCCTCTAGAATCATGGTCATACATGACACCCCTCCCCATGATTTTCGATGCAAGAGCAGCAAAACATGCGATACAAACCAAAAACATGAAAACACGTGACACTCATGGCATCAAACTCCGGAAAAATTCGTACCGTATGAAAACTGTATTTGCAACTGGAACTCCAAAAGCTACCCTGCTCCCTGAGCCACATGCCTTCACGCACGTCAAGCAACGCGCTATCATCCCATTTCTTGCGCGCGGCCAAAAACACACCGCAGAGAGCGACCGCTTATCTCAGGACCTAACATAAGAAAACAAACAAACCAAAAGTATCGAAACACCTTAAGCGCAAAACGCGACTGAACGTACTCCCGCCAAAGAATAGGGAAATAATATGAAGCATTCAGCTGCAAGGTAAAACGCGACTGAAAACATACGAAGAAGCAAGGAAAAAATAAATAAAAACCCACCTGCTGCTTCCTATTCCACAGGTTGTGGCAATGCTTATCTTGTCATAGCGAACATTTATTATCATGAAACCAAGTACAGAAAAAAATATATATTACGCACACGCCGTGGCACACGTGTTTTCTGCATCAAAGTGAACGGTGCGCTTGCAAGGGAAAAACAGAAGAAAAAAAAAATAATAATACGAAGCCAAATGGCGAACCTAAAACGTCCATGGCTGCTCGCAAAACCGAACAAAGTCGTAAACGTTTCACATGATTTCCCACTTGGCTGTAGCAAGGTGAGGTCGTCGCTGTCACCGTGTCCTCCCCGTTCCCGGTCGACTCGAGGGCGCCACCGCTGCTGCCGCCGCTGCCATCGCCGCCGTTGCCGTTCCCCCGCCGCCACGACCGCCATGAGTTCCAGCGCCAACACGGCTGCCGGTAACGTCGCTGCTGCCGCCTCTACCGCCGCCGCCGTTGTCGCCGCTGCCGCCGACGGGGCTCTGGCCAAAACCGCCGCTGCCGTCTTCTGCTGCCGTCGGAGCTCTGGCCGAAGCCACCACTCTCGTCGCTGCTCCTGCTGCCGCCGGTGTCGCCGCCGGAGCTCTGGCCGAAGCCACCACTCCCGTCGGGGCGGCCGCCGTTGCCGCCGTTGGAGCTTCCACTCCCGTTCCTGCCCCTATCGAAGGGGTACGCCACCCCTGGTACCGCCCCCCGTCTCCTCGCGCCACGCGAAGATGTCTTACCGGGGTCGAAGGGGTGCGTCGGGGCTCCACTCCAGGTTTCATCTAACCCCTCGTCGCCGCCCTTGCGGCCGTCTGGACACCCGACGCCAACGCGGCGACCGGGGACGCCGCTGCTGCTGTCGCCGCTGCCGTTACCCCCGTCACCGATGTCGACGCCGTCGCCGCTGCGGCCGTCTGGACACCCAACGCCAACGCGGCGACCGGGGACGCCGCTGCTGCTGTCGCCGCCGCCGTTCCCCCCGTCACCGATGTCGCTACCGCCGCCGCTGCGGCCGCTGCTGCTGCTGCAGCAGCTGCTGCTGCCGCCGCCGCTGCTCCGGTCATCCGTCTCTTCACCATACTTCTCCTCTCCATCCACACGCACCTCCAGCGTATAAAATACTCCAGGGTCAAACGGGTACGACGCGCCCCTCTCGAAACCGCAGATGCCGTCGTCTCCGCTGCTGCTGCAGGTCAGGGTGCCCGGGGCCATCGCGGCGACCGGGGACGACGCTGCTGCTGCCGCCGCTGCCGCCCCCCCCGCCGCCGACGCCGCCGCCACCGCTGCTGCGTCCGCCGAGGTGCCCGGGGCCATCGCGGCGACCGGGGACGACGCTGCTGCTGCCGCCGCTGCCGCCGTGGTCGCTGCCGCCGCTGCGGCCGTCTCGATGCCCGGCGTCAACGCGACCACCGGGGACGTCGCCGCTGCTGCTGTCCCCACCGCCGCCGTTGCTGTCACTGCTGATAAAGGCACAGGTGACGCTGCTGGCTGCTGCTTCGGCGACTGGTGGTGTGCACTCATGACATACCGGCACGCTTGCTGCGTGGCGCCAAACGACCCGCGAGGAGAATATCCCTCGTTCTCACCGGTAAACGCGGTCACCGGGGACGTCGCCGCTGCTGCTGTCCCCACCACCGCCGTTGCTGTCGCTGTTGATGAAGACACAGGTGACGCTGCTGGCTGCTGATTCGGCGACTGGTGGTGTGCACTCATGACATACCGGCACGCTTGCTGCGTGGCGCCAAACGACCCGCGAGGAGAATATCCCTTCGTTCTCGCCGGCAAGCTCACCGCCACGCTGCTGCTGATGCAACGAAGAAAATGTGGCAAATCCTCCGTTCCGCTGCGGCTGCTGAAATCCACCACGATCGCTGCCGTACACCACGCCTGGCTGCTGCTGGTGAAACGCAGACCCTCTGCCAAACCCGTCGTGCCTCCACTGCTGCTGTAACGACTGCTGTACGGGAACACCTCCGCATGACTGCTGTTGACCATGCTGCTGTTGTACTCCGAGTCCACCGCCGGCTCCGTACTCCCGCTGCACCTCGTAGAGTTGATGCTGTGGAAGAGACGCAGGAACTGGCGGGTGCTGCACTATCAACCCGATCCCCCAGCTAGCCAATAGCTCCAACTTCGAGACATCCAGACGTTCCACTTCGAGACCGAAGCTGTCCAAGAACTCCTGCTCCTCGCTGTTGAGCTGAAGAGACACCGAACCGGGCAGATGTTGCACTGCCGGTCGGTTCCTCCCGCAATCCTGAAAAAAACTAGCCGTTCCCCCGGCTCCATCCCTATAGTATCCAGACGCATACCCAGCGCCATCCACCCTATCTCTAGTAGCGTCCCCCGCTGAACTCCTCTCCTCTGCCTCCTTAATTCTCCGTCGTAACTCCGCATTCTCGGCTTCCGCTTTCTTAATTCCTTCTTCCAACTCTCTCTCTCTTTCCGTCATCGCTGTACCAACACCTGGCCTAGCTAGGCTCCACTCGACATCGTGTTAGTGCACTGCCGCCCTCAGCGGTCTGTGGTGTTGAGACTGGGGACTATGTTATCCCAGGAACAGCTGATAAAAAAGGACCATGTATTATTGTATATATCCGTCACGCAAGCCCCTCAGGCAAGCTGGTATTCGACACGCAAGCCCCTCAGGCAAGTGCCGGGAGCACACCGCTGTGTGCTCCCGGGGGCCCCGCACTTGGACCACAACCGCATACATACCCTCACACCCATACTTCCCATACGCGTATCCCCCACAGAGGATGCTCAGATCAGACTCATATCCAAGTACCACAAACAGACTAGACAATTCTAAAAGGGTAGGCTTCTGAAGGGTATACCTCCTGGGACCGACCCACATCCTATCAACAATAAGATGTACCCTATTCAAGCTACATGTAGCAGCCACACTCCTTAACACCCACGTGCATATATGCTACTACACTACATGATGTAGTCATCATGTATGTGGAAACTTCTTCTGATGATGATGACGGACGGATGTGGACGGGAATTGAACGTGGCCTGTAGTCTAGTCTAGGCTGCTTGCAGTTCGTGCAAGGATACCGTGCTTATCGTAATGCACGCGTACTACATGTACCCTCGACACCAGGAGGAACGGTTGAAGGCTTTCGGTCACGAAATGGTCTCGCGTGACGTTGGGACTGACTCGGTACTTTCACTCGGTGGTGCCCACAGGTGTGCTTCATGCGGTGGAGCTTCGAGAGGACCTTGCTTGGTGTTGCTTGTACTTGACGTTATGTTGCCTATTGTAGTGGGTGGGGCAGATAGATCGGCATGCCAAGGACAACAGCAGGCCGGGTAAGTATCCCTTCGCCCCCCTCAGGTCTACACGTTCCCCCCGTACCCCAAAACACAGACGGAGTACATAGCTCCACGATTCATCGCGTTCGGACTTCATGGTTCACGCCGTGATGCCGCCGTGATGCCCTGACGGCGAGTGAGCGTTTTAGTGCTGGATGGTTTAGGTCTCAAGTGTCTTTGTTGCAATTCTTCGTGCTGAAATGTACATAGGTCCTCGTGAAAGCAGCGGTTTGAGTAGGCGAGCGGCGAGGAAAACTTGGTGAGGTTTTACGTTCATTCGATCCTATTGTCACCGTCTCGAAAGAAAGCCGGTACATTGCGTTGGCCGACAGATCTGCTTCCATCGTCTCGTTCACTCGTTCAGGCTGCTCATGCCTGGTACTCGGAACTACCCGCGATATGTCTCATCTGGGTCATCACCATTATCCGTGACATGCCTTTGCCATGAGCTCTTGCGATGGCCCGAGCAACGAGATCGGCAACCCACGGGACCGACGGCGCTCCCACCAATAGGAAGCCTCAGTGCTCCACACGATCTCAGATCCGGGCTCATGCGCACTGCACGATGTCCGATAAACGGATCTCACAAACGTCACACGCGACGATTGGCCCGAGTTCCTGCAATGTCGGTCTTCCCCCATGACATGCAATTACAGGTTGCCCGTGTAGCATAGGAGTTCGCCAAAGACGGCTTTCTTCTTTACAAAAAGAGTCCCAACGTACCCCTCGCCCCCCGTTGGTGCACGTGACCCGCTTATTATTCTTGATTACCTATGATACCTCCCCGAGTGCCCGTCGGTGTCACCTCAATACTGTAATTCGGGCACCCTCTTCACTCGGCCGCAACATTTGCAACTCTCTCTTCGCGAATGCTACTAAACAAAAATCAGGAATGAGATATACCGTTTTGGCTCAACTTGCAAACAGAGTGCACTTGTCTTTTGGATGCGTCCAATAGAAGCACGCATCTGACCAGGCATGACACGCAGCAAATAATGAGGGTGGCCAGACGAAGATATCGCTACGCTTGCCGGCCTTGGGGAACGCCTGAACTCACACAAGTTGAGCCACTATACCAGAGAGCAGGAACTGTCTCGTTGATAGATCAACAACACATCACCAATTACAAGACGTCACAAAAAAATCGAAAACACAACCACTGTATCAACTTCTTCTATGGTATGAGCCGACAGAACCAGCGTTCAACAGCTGACAGGGCTGGTGTGAATCTTTGTGTCGCATGTACCGCGAAAAGATGAACACACAACCACTGCATCAACTACTTCTACGGGATGGGCAGACAGACACCAGCGTCAACAATTGACAGGGCTCGCGTGAATCTATATCCTCCCACAACTCCCAAGCTGAGTTGCTGGCCACTCGACAAAACGCAGCATCACTCTGACTCTGAAACGATAGTCATCCATCCCACCTCCTACCTTCCCCCATCGGTTGCAACCTTGTGTACGTGAGTCATCCTCTGTCCACCTCTCAACTCGACAAAGCAACCGTGAGTGACTATTACGACACAGGGGGGGAGCCATACTGCTACTGCTATTGCTACTACAACGAAATATTGTCAACAGAAACCACACGACGTCGGAGTATATATAGGCACGGTTGGGGTTGTCATGCTAGGTGTAGCCCGTATCAGCATGCCCTGGCAATACCACCCGCATCAAACCGACCGAACCTATGCAAACAGTTTCCACTCCACAGTTTCCACTCCACTGCACCTCGCATGCACCTACATGTGTACCCGTAGGTATTATCTTAGATGTTGATGGACTGCGGGACCTTCTCGGGAAGCAGCGTCGTGTACCCGAAGTTGGCGGCGGCTCTCTTGCCCTTGCCTCTCTTGCGCCAGGAAGACACAACGAAGGCGTTCCTGCCAGGCATTGAATTTTGGCGGCGAGCGGGGGGAAGGTTGTTCGCCATTCACGACAACAATTCCAGTCGAACGAGATACTATCGTACCAAAGGAAGCGCCGGCGCCCCGGTCGGGTTTGGTATTTATCGACCCGTGTGCGCGCCTGTCAATGAACGGAAAGGGTACACGTATTATGTTTCATACATGAACTACAGGATAAACAGTCGGGGTTCACATGGAGCATCAACTGGTACGCTCTTCGGCATGCACATCGCGAACGTCATGTTTGCCGTGGGTGTAGATCAAGTATTGCGACGCGAATTAGTCAACTCAGATCAGACAGCTCAACTCCCATGAAGGGAGACCAAGTCTGTACATGGTGAAGCCTGCACCGTTTCTCGGTAAGGAACGAAACCAGGATTGACTCCTGCCGAGGTACTCTCCTTGCCAACACGTCACAACGCACAATCACATGGGAGTCCCCGGCACAGCGAAACCCTCCCGTCGTCGGCACGCATTCTACAATCCGAGTCAAGTCTGCAGGACCCTCCAAAATGACGCCAGATTTCGCCAATTGTTGTGCGACTGGAACCTCTTGGCTGTAGAGTCTAGCGTCAACCCAAGTGGCACCTCCTTTGTGAGAGGTGTGTCCGGTACTGTGGACTATTTTGCCGTATGGCTTGGCTAGCCGACTCACTCGTCCACCATGTCGGTTTCGATGTCTTCGAGTGCCTGTTGGAACTTGGCCAGTGGGGCTAGCACACGCTTGTCGCTGAACTGGTCCGCCTCGTAGTCGCCCAGCCTGTACTCGTTCGTTCCCGCAAGCGGTCATCGCGTTTTGATCGCATGAGTGTAAAATGTGCGCGAGAGCGCCATGACACCAGAGGCGTGAGTGGTACGTTAGAGGGCAGCAATACATACCGCGCGTTGTCTAGCAATGACTGAAGTGCCACAATCAACCGTGCCGGCCTTGCCGCCTTCGTAGTGATGTCGAGCACTTCCTGATGTTTGCTGGCACAAGCGAGTACACTCGGTTCTTCTCACACGGATCTATCAATAGTAGACAGCGCATTGGTAGCCTCAGCAGGCGAGGGCATGTTTGACGAACGTCGCCCGAAGGTTGACCGGCCGTATGCAACTGTGGCGCGAGCGCAGAGCAACAAGAGCACTTGGGGGGAAACATTCAGTCGTTGACCCCTTTTACTCCAACTCGAACTAAAAGCTTGGTACAAACAAAACCGGGCAGCAAGTTGGTAGACACAAGCAAGTTGTGGTTTGTTCTTAGGCCCGGGATCGAGGGTTCGGACTGACTCACGTTGTGTAGAAGACGTTGCCAAGGAAGGTGAAGAGGATGACCTGCCTGGTGGCGATCTCGAGCGGCGGGAGATAGGCCAGGTAGTCTTCGAACGTCCTCTCCGTCTGCAAAACAGATGGTGACAATCATCGAGGTGTCGACATCAGGCAGCTTCGCTCCATGCAAAATACCCTACCAAAAGTCTCGGTACACTCCGGTACAGGCTTGCATACCCTGCCAAAGTCTCGGTACGCTTCGGTAAACTTTCATACCCTACCACGCATAACCTACACACAATATAGAGCGTGTTCGACGGTACGTGCCGAGGCATACCTCCGGCATGTACGGGCGGTATATGCCCTGCGGAGCGCCTCGGTGTGCTTCGGTACACCTACTGAAATTCTCGGTACCCTTCAGCACAGGCTTCCAAACCTTACCGAAATCCTAGTACGCTTCGGAAAGTCTTAATCCCTACTGAGCGTACCCGTACCTTACCGAACACGCCCTTGAAAAAATATGTTTCGATTTTCATCACCAAACCGTACCGACTTATCCTGCGATTCCAATATCCCGTCCCGTCGTTACCTTGTCGGTGGGGGGTGGCACGTAGACCGAAGCGGGGTTGCTGGGCACGAAGGACATGGTGGTCTTCTGAGGGAAGTTGACCGCGGCGTGGAGGGTGCTCGCAGAGTAGATCAAGCTTGCCAGCACCTGTGACATGTGACAAAAGAGTACAACCTCACGAGGGAAACCGAGAGACTAAGCGAAGACACCTCACCAGCGACGGACCTCGACTTGAGTCTCCAAGAGCGAGTCGTCCAGAAAACAGTTTTAAGACCTGACCGCGTTGAGAGGGTTGTCACGGCGTGACGGCGTAGTGGAGATATACCAAAACACTTCCAGGATTTGTTGACGCACGTCGTGCAAAGGTCGCAGATCGTTGTTCAGCAGCAAGAAAACAACAGCAGCAACAACACTCAATGGGGGACCTTAGCGAGGAGGCCCTTCTTGTCCGTAGAGTTGTCCCATTCCGCGAGCCACTTGAATTCTCCCACGGTAACGAGCTCGTTTACGAACGCCTGCGAGGGTGATGGGGGGAGGGAAGTACGTCCCTGTTAAGCGCGTACGACTCCTGGCTATGGTCACCTTGCACAGTATTCACCAACATGGAGTCAAAAGCGAGATCCAATCCCAGACATGTATTTCTTCGCCACCTCTAAATATTGCACTATCCTCGACATCCAGGCGATTGTTTTTGCCCACCCGTTCGTCCACGAACTCTCGGCGGGGATAAAGGGTAGGGTTGTATAAGGTGGTCGCAGCATTGGAAGTGTCGGGCTACGGGTACCGGCAGCGGTGTACGTTATCGGATGGCGTCGTCATGCACGGATTAAAACCCAACCAAACCAGACCGAATTTCCTCGTCAGTTCGCAAAAGGCGGCTCTATCATCTACCCCATCGCTGGTGTCCATTCCCTTACTAAACCTTCCAGCTCCTTTGGTTCACAGTTGATCGAAGGCCCTTTGGTTTTGGATTGTAGTGCGGGCGCGCGCTGGACGTGAAGGCTGCACAGCCGCCTAGCTCAAACGCATGTTAGAACGAGGACGTACAAACGGTTTCAACACAATCGAACCGCACCAACGCTCGCGATGGCAAAGGGAGATGAGTTTTAAGTGTTACCTGCAGCTCGTAGTCGTCGGTGACATCCGCGTCGGTGCTGTAGTACACCTGACGAGTCAGAGCAAAACAGGCCAACGTTTACGAAGAGACGGTACACAGACATATAACTGAGTTGTTGGAGGTGCAGGCTGAAGTTATGCGTCTAACCCGCGAGACGTACGGGAAGGTTTCTCACTGCAAGCAACCACGATCAGAAGCTGTTTAGTGGGCAAAGCATGCTCTCTTCAGACGCAACGACCTCGTTCATTCGATGCAAAAAAAAAAACACTCGAAACCCGGCTTGTGCGTAAGGGAATCGTCAAAGCGAGTACGACCAGCGAAAGACAGTAGAATTCGCAATATGGTACGCTAACTCCATCCACAACCAAACGGTGAACGTCACGACGTGGGGGTAACAAGGGTGGCGCCACATTGCAGCAGAACAAGTGGCTGATCAAACCAACACCACATGTTGATCAATGGTTGAGGAACAAATTTGAACGCCATCGAACTGTTTGACCCTTCGGCACATGCAGGTGGGTTCCTCTACGCCCTAAAAACAAGTAACCAGACACTTCGTCGCCAAAGGTGAGGTGGTCCTGACTCACGTCGAGGTACTCCTTCACCCAGGTGTATATGGCGTCCCAGTACTTGAGCCCGAAGTCACGGTACGGGTATCTTCCCGGGAAATCCGTCTTGGTCATACCGCGAGCAGCGAAATCGACTTCCGGCGAGAAGTCCTTGGAGATGCGTTCCAGGGTCTTGCGTGGCAAAAACAAGGGGTGCGAGACGATTGCACTCAGGGGGTGTACGAAGTGCCGTAGACGTGTTGAGATAGGGTTGGTGAGTTCCAGGTGCTAGCCTGATCGCAGAAATAAACAAAAAACAGAGGATCCTGCGGTTTACGTGCGCGCATGCTGTAGGCGGGTGCTGCATTTCCATGATACCAGGTTGACGCCTTCAAAAGAACAACAGGGATAAGAAACGCATGGTTCGCAGATCTCAGGCTTTGTAGATTGGCCATGTATCGCACAATAGACAATCAGAAACTTCAAACTTGCTAAGCCTCACGTGCCCTTTCCGGTGTAAGCCAGGACCACGCAATCTGTCGAAAAAATCATTTGGAAAACGTACCAAACGTGGAAACACACCTTAACCCGAATCAAGGCCCACGCATCCTCGATCTTGTTGGCCAGGAGCCTGTCCACTGCTGCGTCCGCGGGCATCAAGAGCTGAACGGCCGAATACAACCATAACAATAACGTGGTGGAAGCAAAATGTTCAGCAACCGGTGGCAGCAATGACTGTTGCTGCTGCTGAGATTTGGACGAAAAAAGCATCATCAAATTCTGAAAACAGAAGAGCAGCATGAAAAAAGGCGCGTTATGCAATGGGCAAGATAGCCAGCTTTTCGCGAACAAGAAGGTTACCGGACAACGAGAGTTGCTGCTAATCCCAACAGATTGGTGGGGCCCTAAGGATTTTATCCTCCATTTTCTTCATGAGAATAGGGCCATTTTCTCGGAAATGAGGTCAAGACAAACAATATGAAGATTTTCTGGGGTGCATCCGAGAGCACCATCCTGCAATAAATAATGGACAACACGGCAATTCTCTAACGCTCTCCGAACAAATGGATGGTGCCCAGCAGCCAACGCTTGCAATGCATGGCATCAAACACATCAGAAAACACCCCAAGGCTACAGACAGGTAGGGTTGCTCGTTCTTCGTTCCCAACGGAACTAGTTGTATAACGTACATCACCCTTGCACTATTTGGTGGAGACATTGTTCACAACTCGAGCTGCAGAGAGGTGAGGCGGTCAATAGAAACAAAGTCTGCAGACGAACTGTAGATAGCCCAAGAGGTTTCGCATGTTCCAGTTCAAAAAGGGTGAAGAATATGTCGCAAAACCGCAGCTCCGTGCGGCCGCATGAAGATAGAAACAAAACAGACAAGAGCCGAAAAAGAAAGACAGATCCTGTCACTACCGCTATCATTGGTGGTAACCTGGGTTGAGGCGAGCGGAGGAAAACGAGTGATATAGTGGCAATAGGTGAGCCACACAAGACATGTGGGTAGGGACAAGACGTTTCTGCCCGAGTTCCAATAAATGTTAACATGTACAACATCGAATGTAGAAAAAAACTTGGTGAATCCGGTTTCTTGCGGCGTAATTTCACCTCGTCTGCACCCCAGTTGATGAGGGCAGTTCCTTCCACATGCGGGGCGAAGAGGGCGTGGACAGGGTGTTCCTTGGGAAGCTGGCGGTTCATGCTGACCATGGGGCCCTCCAACACCACATGGGTGTTGCCCAGGTGGGACACCACCTCGTGGATGCTGATCGCAACGTTAAGTTCAACAGCAGAGAAAGAAACAAGAGCTCGCGTGAAATTGTCAATTGCTTGCATGGGAGGCAAGGGAGCAAGAGATGCAACCTGTGCTGTTCAAGGCCTCGGCGGTCCACTGCGGCGGCCCAAAATAGAACGGTCGTTCCATTGTAACAACGAACGATGTGCTTGGTAGACGTCATGACCCTATAGTCCCTCACGGCCGTGCATGCCTGCACCGGCGTGTGGTGGTGCGAACGCCTCGCCGTTCACATGATTGTTTGACCGTCTTACATGAAGTCAGCCGCCTCGAAGCATGCTTTGGCGATCTTCCAGTTGTAACCGTCGTCAGGAGTGAAGATTGGTGTCGCCGTATCGCCCTGGCTCAGCTGAACGAATCAATGGCATGAAGGGCGGGGCGGGGCGTGTGCGTACGTATCCAATGCGTGCTGCGTCAGGGGTAACGGGTGTTTTGCGGGGTGTCCAAAGAGAAGGTAGGACAACGGAGCGCTCCTATCACCGATCCATGTGTGCATACCATCATGCTTAAAGGTTGAAGTGCTGTCCATGAAGCGGTATGTTGACGCTGAAAACCCTGCGAAGTGCATAGCAGATTTTCACCTTGGAACATTCGTTCAGCGTCGGTTGGGAGTCTGAAACAACAGTTGTCCATGGACGCTACGAAATCGTGAAAAAAACGGGAAAAGGTCGCATCTGTAACCAGCTATCGAAGCGAGTCGAGCTGCGAATCGCGGCTGTGCTGGCTGTTCTCATCCTCACGGCCATAGGCTGGTTGACACACCCCAGACTCTTGTCATCATACAAAGCGGGGCTGCAATTTTACGTCAGGGTATCGCCGATGAGGTCACTATTGCACCAACCTTCGATCTCCGTATACGGGTGGGGCGTTCCGCCAATCGCACCCAGAGAAATTTCATTTCATGATACGGCCTTCAGGTAGATTGTTGACTGTTGACCAACCAGCTTCAGCTCTCTTTCAATGCGGACGGCGTATGTTTCTATAGAATGGAATTTCCATATAATTCGTCCGTAGGCTACTTTACGCCTCGTTGCACTACAGGGTCAGTAGAAGCGGCTTCTAGAAGTCATACTCCGAATACCAACGGGGAACCGTTGAAGCATGTCCATGAAAGGGCCCCCTTTACTGGAGTGGGTGGGAATCGCGGAGCCAATCGCTACAGTAGTGCACTAATTTACTCTCAGGCAATACTGAGGGCTCGAAACGGACGGTACTGTTATGTCTTTGGCGTACCTGTATCCCTACAGGCTTGAGAGGAAGCAGCTCGTCATCCACAGCCTCGAAGAGAGCGACGCACGGTGCCAGGTACCTAGGAACATCTTCCAGGGGAGCTGTTTGCACCTCCTGATTAACGTAACAACGTAATATTGGCAGGATAATATCAGTCAACAATTGATGACTATGGCGTTAGGTGGCTACTTGTTGGTGTTGGTTAGTGAAATCGAGAAAAGTCAAGCCAGAACGGTCAGCCCGATGCGGTGCCGTTTACCAAGGAACATTCTTGAACAATTCAAAATTTCCATTGAGGTCAATGAGATGACGGTCATACATGTAGATCGAAACCGAAATCACCTTAAGAACCCACTCATTTTCTTTCAATAGTTCCAACGAAACAACACGAGAACTTTTGTGAAGAATGGCCAACAGGCTTTCAAGCCCGCAAGACCTTGACAGGATTCCGAAAACAGCTTTACTCCCATGCTTGCAGCCCGGCTGCAAGACAACTCAGAGCCTGACACATCTCTGCCACTCAAAGTGCAACCCGGCAAAAAAGATCCGGAAGCCGCATGTTCTGTCTCAAACCGCTTCATTAGCTTTGAACCTCAGGGAGCTACCAAGGCCTCACTGTCGCTTACCTTTCGACAAAGTCAGAGTCCAGGAACAAATGTAACCCCAACATCTTCACCCCCGCTGTGTTCTGGGGTGCAAGACGCTCATTCTGCTACACCGTACAGAAGCAAACACAAAAAATCCGAGTATCCAGCCCGTTGAAAACGTTCATCACGGGTGTGCTTTCTTCGCCTATCTCATGTTCAAGGATAGCTCTGTGGAAGGGTGCTACAGTTCTCAATAACGAACCCTGGACACCTGCGCCGGCCGTCTTCGTACGTACCTTGACGATGTACTGGTCTACAACGAAAAGCTTTCCGTCCTTCATGAGAGAGTCCACCTTGTCCTTGAGGTTCTGCAGGACAATCACAACAACCACGAAAAGCAAAACAGACGACCATCACGTCCGCAAATGGCAACATCAGACGAAGCAGAGCAGCATTACCGCAAGGATAGGCAAAGGCAAACATGTACCACCTACTTTTCCCTTTGGCCAGAGCAAGAATCTCAACTGAACATCATTTGTACGATGGCGGTACAGCCAGTGACGTGAAATACGGCATGGAATCAGCAGTGCTTCACCACGAGCCGATGAAAGTATCTCATACCTTGTACGTTGGGTCGGAGTCGAGGACCTTGAGCTTCTGACGAGTGGCCTCGGAGCACTTCTCTAGCACCACGCAGTTCGGGCCTAAAAACACAAACAAATGTGGGAATGGACAAACACTCGTAGATTTTTCTTCCGCCGTTGTAAAGCGTTGCCAGCGAGATGTCGGCTTCAACCTGTCACGACAGCCGAAATACTAATTCGTGCTCGGTGCATGCGACGCGTGTTTCGACAAGACAGATCCACGCTATAAATAGTCCCACGAAATTTCTAGCTACACTCTCAACGCGGTGTGGGTAACTCGTGGCTCCACGTACAACTCCGAAAAACGGTGATCCGAAGTCCCGAGACTTGCAATCATACATGTATCTCCGATCGTACCGCTGAGTGAAACAACGAGTTACGTTGTGTTCATGCATGTGCAGCACTATATTTGTTAAGCCTTAGCCTTGGCCTTAATCTTACCCTGGAGGCGCTGCCTGGCGAAGGCGTCGTCCTCATCGAAGTCAAAAACCGAATCAGGCTTCTTGATCGGGTAGGCATGGAGGTCTTCATAATCGTTGATGTCGACCGGCTGAAGAGATGATGTCGTCAGCGAAGGAAAGCAGTCACGTTAGGTACCACCCCACCGTCATTCCACGGCTAAGGGCAAATGTGGTTGTTTGTGCGGGGTATTGCTCATGGCAGCCCCGTCAAACCATGCCATGTCGAATCTTCAGCCCTGTAGGATCATTCGCCAACCTAGCTATGAAGATCGCCCAACAAACGTGCCCTGTACTCGGTTGGTTGTCGGCATTCGCTCTAGCTTTCCGACGATGGTGCCCTTGGCACCAACCACGAGAGATGTGCGGCCAGAGCTAGCCCGAGAACATTTCCTTCCTACCCAAAAAGAGAAAAGAACTATCCATCGCATGCCTAGAACCTGGGTCGAAACTCACCCGCGAATCGAGATGAACCACACAATAGGGGTCACAATGACACGAACAACCGTGGACACCCAGGTACCACCTCCTCCGTTCGCCATCGCAGCACATCAACTCACTCACCCTGTCGTTGATCTTGGCCTCTTTGATGAGCTCGCTAACCCTTGTGGCGAAGTTCTTGGCCTTGGCCGGGTTTGACACGGCTTCGATTATCTCCCCGGCCCCGATGTTACCCCTACACGTAGGGCGATATTGTTTTCAATTTTTTTTGGGGGGGTGGGGGGTGTGATGCTTGGGCAAGTACAATCAAAGTCGCTTAGGCGTGGTGTCCGGTGTCTGAGAGAAAGAGGGAAGTACGTGCTATCAGCCCCAAACTCTCAAACGCCCCCTCTAAATGAACGCGGAGAAGGTTTTACGCCGCAGTGTTTCCAGGCGCTAAAGTTCTCGACGCGGTTGCAGGTCTCGAGCCTATTTGGTCAAGCTGCCACATACGGTCCCGATACGATGCTTTTGCTTGCCCAAAACTATTGCCAGACGACGCAGGTGGAATGCACCTGAAGGGCGAGCTATTTGTGCTATACTTCTGTGTAACAGGGCATGCGGATATCCTTTGTCACTGCTGTACTTCTCGATCAGGCGGAGTCACAACAACAGCAAGCTCGAGACATCAACCATTCAAACAAACAGGATAGAGGCGGGAACGGGACTTTCGGTTCTACTGCATCATACTTGGCGTTTGTTTGTGCGAAATGCCAAGGTAGGATATGGCAATGTAATCAGTGTAAGTTAGTTGGTGACCTCGTGGTTCCTATGACGGCGCCAAGGAGAGAAGAGACGAGCTTGCCGACCCATGTCCCGCTGGGAAGTTCGTCGTTGGGAGGAAAGCCTTCCAGGAAGGGCATGTCGATCGGGGTGCCCTGTGTTCGTGAGAAACGCCATTTATCGCGACCCGCACGAACACGGATTAAGGAACGACGGGGGCCTATGCATCTTCGACCGTGGTGCGATTTGGGTACCTCAAACAGCAGCAGGAACGACATCATGACAAGTCTATGTCTCACGCAATATGCCTGGCTGTCACAACTGTTTGTTTTTTCTCACCCTGGTCCTCCAGGGATACTCCTTTTGGGCTTTGGCAAGCCGCTTCTTGCGGCCTGAGGTGTCGGCCTTGGGGTCTTGGGGCAGACAGGTCTCCGGATCGGGGGAGCCTGTAAAGTGCAGTACAAGCGCCACAACAACAACAGCAAGAACGACATACACGAATATCCACCAAGTAGACAGCAGTCCAAGAAGAACGCTTTAGCGTGAGCAATGTGAGACACGAATGTACAATACAAGGGGGAGCGAACGTGAAGTAACCAATGTCGCCGAAGAACGTGTGTATCTCCAAAGGTGTTTTCACATGACCAAATCGACTCACACGAACCGCCGCGAAACCGTTGCTGCCGTGATTGCCACACACCACCACACAGAGGCACAACGAGGCACAACCAAGCTTCAGGATGTCAAGGAAGGATGTATGCGTTCCTCCGGACTTGTTGCAAGGGGACGAAATACTGCACTCCATACATTAGGACTCCAAAACTGTCGTAATAAGCGTTGCTAGGCCCTGGTGTATCACAAGTTTCCATGATCTTAGCTGCGGCACCAGATTCGTATGTCTATTCACGTACTCTGGAGAAACGACGACAATGATAATTCCTTGAGCGATTGTTGTTACTTGGGGCAACGAAAGGTGAAATGAACGTAAACAGGACGTAACCATAACTGGTACCAAAACAAAGGACTTCTGGCATGATAGACATGGCACTTACAACAGTCAATATGTTGTAACGCCGAAACCGTAATTGTTGGGGGGCCGGAGCACACGGGTTCGAACTGGCTTCACGGCAGCATCTCAAGACGATAACCAAACCAAGAAACACACAATAGTCCATGTGACCATGCCAAATGGCAGTTACAGGGACACCAAACATTCGCAAAGCCTCCAACAATTCCAAAAAAAAGTACTCAACGTAAGTAGCTGCTCAACGGTCGCCGAGGCAATGCAGTAATGTACCTATTCTCACCGAACAGACTGCCCAAGCTCGGGAACGAGAATCTGCTGAAAAATCCTCCTTCCTCAGGAGAGGTAGCGGCAACAGCAGTCTCTTCCGGCGCGGCACGGGTGGTGGCGGTGGTGGTGCACGAGCTGTCTTCGCCGCCGGCGGGGCAGCTGCCATCCTCGCCCGCTGCTGCGGCTGTGGCACCGACCATCGAGCCTTTGCCGGCCAGCAGCGCAGACAGCGCGGTGGCTGCAGTGGCTACTGCCAGCATCGTCTTTCTGGAGGAAGACATCTCTCTATCGATATCTGCGGAAGAGGGACAGGGGCGAATGCGAAGTCGGTAACTATCATTTCGTGTCGGAAAACATCGTGTACCTAGGAAAGTATTAGGGATGGGGGTTAATATCTGTGGGAACATCGAGCGGTGTTGGGAACGATTTCCAATCGGATGTTTGAACCTTGTACCACCCACGCCACTGACCCCACGCGACTGTTGCACCATCTTGTATCGTATATCATTGAACACTGAACGTGTTCGCGGGAAAGAGATGGATTTCGATGTGCTTCAGCAGTCAGAAACACGAAAAAAAAACACTGCCACCATCACGCGGTACTTTTCTCAGGTAAACTGCCCGACATTAATTCAGGCATGCCACCCGGAATACTACAGCTGCTGTGGTTCTGCCTAACCAGTGTGCTCTCGGGGCCCCTCTACCAATAGACGCACCGACAGAGACCGCAGCCAATCTATGCAATAACCAATGTAATTGAAATCGTTGCTGGTGACGTGGAAGAATTGGAAGCTTTTCAAAGTGCCCACGGAGGACGGGGATGTTTTCGGTCGAAAGAAGGGTGCACTTTGGCACACAGCGGGAAGCGTATGACGAGTCTGCAATGGACACTGCTGCACAATAGTATTTCGAGAGGGAACAACCGCCCCCCCCCCGGCGCCCTCTACGCCGGCGCCCTCCCCCCCGAGTTGCGGGCAAAGAGGGCTACCGTACCGAGTTGCGACCTCCGGCGAGCGCGGTGCGTTTGAAGCCGGAAAGCCTGCCCGAACTCTTCAACAATTCCCATGCTCTCTCTCGGCATGGGTGGTGGGCGTGTGGGCAATCCGTCAGAATTGAATCTGGAGTGTGTACATGCATGGTGTGCAGTTTGGGCCATGAACGGGCGCTCCCGCATTCCCCTGGTTTCACGTACAGTAGACCGTCCCCTGCTGTACCCCGAAAAAATGCCGTTTCTTGAGTACGGAGTCTCTTGGCTCGCGGTTGAAGTTCATTCCGAGTCAGAGAAGTGCTTACAGCATTCCATTGCTCTTGAATCTTGAATTCGCATCACTCTCAATGTTTCAGGTTGGGGTGTTTTTTTCCGCCGTGGTTGGGTGGTTCCGGTGCTGCGGTAAGTACCGGGAACCACCTCAGGCTGTAGACTACAGTCGTGGGCCCGGTTTAGCGGTCCATAGTGTCACGAAAAATTATAACCGCTATTCAGGGCATCGCCGCTAAACTTCTGTAGCGGTTATGAACCGCTAAACCGGGAGGCTCAATAGCGGTGATGAACCGCGAAACCGGGAAAAAGCCCATTTTTGCCCAACAAGAGCAGCGTCGAAAGTTCATCTTGATGTAGGGCCTGCATTTGTCTCGTTGCAGCAGTCATACGAGGGTGCAGATGAAGAAGCATCGACCCTAAGGATGACCACACAGCAAGCACATTAGTGCATTTCAATTCACGAAAGCGCAAAGCTTGTTTTCCCTGATGGACTGTATGCCATTCATTAAGACTGGAAAATCGTCCCCGTCTCTAACGAACGTGGGGCAAGTTCGTGACAACGGAATGGCAACTAACCACGTGCTTGAGCAGCTCATTTGTACTACTTGTGGCGTGTTTCCATCATGCTTAACCCAACATCTCTCTGATATTCGCTGCGAGGGACGCCATTTTTGCCTTGCGAAGATAGTGTGCTGCCTCGCCCATGCCACAAACTCAGCGCACTCTTCAACCTGGCCAAAATCCGCCGATAGCTCCGAGTATAGCGGCTGCGCCATCACCCCCTTGCCCTTCGCACCGTCAACTTCTGCGGTGCAATCTCGCTCTAGCTCTAGCTCTAACTCGTCGTCGGAGGGGTTAGGCCCCTCCGTGTACATACTGGAGAACTTCTCAACGAGCTTGTTATACGATCCTTCGGCAAAGCTTCGATCTCTTCCTGCGCGTTATTTCTGAGTGCGCTACCTTCTGGTCAAGAATATTCAAAACCTCAGGCTTCTGGCCAAAGTTGGGCCGCGTGCGGGGCTGTCGTGTAGCTGCAGTGCGAGTTGTTTTTTCCGCGCCAGGTGCTAGAAAGCCATTTTCCGCCTCTTTGCGCTTGGTTGGGTGGATTTGAGACGGGAGGGGGACTCTGGGCCTTCTTGGTTGCACACTATTGACAAATGCGGTGCATCTCGTTGCCATCAGGATCCTCCATTTCTTCGTACATGCCGTGCATGCGGCGACCACAGTCACCTTCACAATCGTGCCCGCCGCTTGGACTCAGTGCCGCATCTGAAAGCTACAGTTCCCCATCCGCGCACCGCATGGCGTGTGTGTGTGTGTGTGTTGCTGTGTGCTTTTATTTCGAGCATCGACCACGCCAAGCGGCTGACCAATGTCGCTGTGTCTCTGCAAAATTTGAATCGATAACCGCTATTGGTGGCTGAAAATATGTCCAGTAACCGCTATTGAGCGCACGACCGGTTTAGCGCTAAACCGGGGTGTAGCCGTGTCACGAGATTTTATAACCGCTATTCACGGCATCCCGCTAAATAGGGAACCGCTAAACCGGGCCCATGACTGTACTGCCGATTAACGAAATACCGCATCCCGCCGAAAACCCGCATATAACAGCGGTACTACCCAAGAAGTAAAGGCACATGGCAGTACTGCCGTAAAAGGACGAGGTGATCGGTTGATGCGAGCTGATCGATTGATCTTAGGGTTTTCTTCACGTACGGTCATGACAAGCGTGTCCCTACTGGGCACGGGCGCCGGGAACCGCCGAATGCGGTGACGCCTGAGTAGGTCATAACTGCCAGAAAAATTACGGCCTATTTGGCAGTACAGAAGTACAAAGACGGACCCGGTAACGTCGAAAAACTCGAAGTGTGTACAGCGAGCCAACAGAGTTTCGCCAAAATTTGGTATGCCGCCCCGCCTGTATCCGCGAGGTGTTAGAAAAGACGCCAGACTTGAAGAGGGAAACCAACTTGAAACGGCATCTGGTTGTGTCTTCGTATTTGCTGTTGAACATATCAATAAATTTACAGATGGATGCCAGATTGAGGGAGGTCGCTGCCGTTGCCGTGGAGGGGGTCGCACAAGGCGAAGAGATCAAGAGAGCCAGCTTTTCGCGGCGGAAAAAACACACACAAACAAGAACACCTGACCTTACAATATTTAATTCCGGCGAAGGCACGGAAGGGTCGCTCTTATCTAAACAGGACCGATTTTTTATAGTGTTCGCGTCTCCCTCTTATCTTCCTCAAAGCTATGCGTGCTATCGGCGCGTGATCACATGTCTGTGCGCTAAATGCACCCAGCTCTACAGCAGTGTTCCTTTGATGTTGGCGCCGACACACCCTCTCACATTCGTTCGTGGAGAAACGTTTCAAGAACGGAGCGTTTTACAAAGTTGTTGCGTTGTTGATTCTTCAAGTCGTTCGTGGGTGGGATCACACACTGCACACCACGCTGCTGTACTGCTGTTACAACATGTACCCCTTCTGTTCTGGCGTGCATCAGGCCCGCTGGAAATAGCGCACAGCACAGAAGCTTGACAGACGCCACGAAGCGCTACTGCTGCCCTCTGTCTTGGGGTTCAATAATCAGCAGGAGAGGGAGAAGGGGCCACATTTTTCGACAGCAGAGAGTATGCACAAAAGTCGTTCGATCATTGTTGGACTCGGCTTGCAGGAGCTTGACGGAGAGATGGGATGTTGAGCAGCATGTGGCTCTTTCCAAAACGGAAAAAATTACAGGTCTCTGAACCATGGCCGTGCCTCTTCCCACGACCCTTGCATCCTGTCTTGGGGGCGAGCAGCGAGCACGTTGGTAGCCAAGTAGGTCAATTCGCCTCCTGGATGCCTCCTGATTGATGCGGATGGAGCTGGCCAATTCCACTGCTCTGTGTTTTGTGATGGTTGACCAGCAGCTGCAGTTTCCTCCGCCTGCACTGATTTTGGTTTGCTTGACGGATGCCCTGCCTGCCCGCTGGTACACACTGCTTGTGACCCTCCTCACCCTCTCGCTCTCTCTCTAGGCTGATACGTAGCACCAAAGTACCGCTCGGAGCCCTGCTTCGTGGGGATATGCTACTGCTGTACTTGAAAATGCACACAACCGATGATCATCTCATCATCATGTTGCTGGATTCAACTCACCGCCACCCGACGAAGCAGGACAGCAGTAGAACCTTCTCCTGTCTCCTCTCAGCAGGGCTCTCCCTCTTTCTTAGGTGTGCAGGGTTCGCTGCCTCGTGTGCCTCACGGCGGGTCGGTTGTGGTGATCTGTGCGGGAGAGGTGTGCCTCGCGGTATAGTGTTGCGTTGTGGTTTCAAATCAAAACCAGGTATTTTTCTTTTGCTTTTCTTTTTGGGTCAATGCCAAGAAACAGCAAGAGGATGCTTTGGCATCTTGCGGATCGTCCGCCGGACCTGTCCGCAGAGCGGGCGTTGTGCGCCCAACCAACCATTGTATGCTATTGCTGGCATCAGGCGCATGCACACCCTCACGGTCGCGAGGACTGCTGCTGCTGTTGTTGCTGCTGCTACTGCTGCTGCAGATGCGTGGTACATGGCGCTGCTGCTGACGGCACCATCAGTTACAGAGGCATTTCACCGTCCGGAGCCATAATAACATAATAACAGCGACACCGTTTACGTAGCAGTTACATATTGCACACGAATAGCGTACACTGGTCTAAGTTGGAAGCGCTGCAAAGCTCGTTGTTAAACGACTTTATTAGTCGCGAGGGAGGAGGCCGAGTCTTTGCTAGATTTTGGGATTAGCAACTGACACGAGTTTAATGTGAAGAAAAACAACAACAACAACAACAACTAGCAGCAACTTCCTGTGATACTTTTTGGTGTGCCAACAGTCCAGGTCTATCCAGGGGATGCATGTGGCGATGATGATGGTGGTAAAAAGCGGTTGTGCAAGCAAGAGATGGAAGATACTTCTTTCTTCTCTCTGTCTTTCCACATCATCTCTCTCCATCAAAACTCTTGGAAATATGACGATGTTGCGGCTTCCGTGACGGCGGCGGCGGCGGCGGCGGTGGTGGTCGGTGTACTTTATACAACAGTTATGCGTTGGCGAAGGGAGGGGAGATGGTCGGAGAAAACACCGACGATGGATGGTTGATGAAAAGGCCTCTCTCGGTGAGTTTTGTCTCTCCCTTCCCGAAAAATGCTATTTTTATTATTGTGTCGCCGAGCAAAGGCCGGGTCTTGGAGGTAGAACTCTCTCCCTCCTTCCCGGCCCTTAGCCTACTAAGGAATCCACACGCTTCCTTAAGTAATAAGAACCAGGCTGACGACATTCCGCTGGTCGCCCAGCTTGGACACAAACCTCCCCCCAAACCTCCATGCCTTTCCATGCTCTGCTCAAGCCTTCGCTTTTTGCCCGAGCACGCTTACCTCGGCTTACCGGTCGTTCCATGTCCTGCCCTTTGGCCAGAGACACGCTTACCTTGACCACACCCTTCGCATTATTCAGCCTTTCCATGCCCTGCTCAAGCCTAGAACATGCTTCCTCGACCTTCTGGCCTTTCCATGTCTCGCTCTCGCCAACAACATGCTTACCTCGGCTTAACCGGTCGTTCCGTGCCCTGCTGCTCAGCAGCCAGAGACACGCTTACCTTGACCCTATTTTTTTTTCCATCATTTGCCTTCCCATGCCCTGCTTCAGCCTAGAACACGCTACCCATGTCTAGCTTCCGCCCGAGACACGCTTACCTCGGCTTCAAAAACAAGAAAAAAAAAAAAAAATGAACCGACGATGCTCTTGCTCTCTTTTTCTGTCTGTCTCCTCCCTTCCGTACGCTCGCTTCCTTCTTCTTCCTCCTCTGTCTCTCTTCTACTCCTCCTCCTCTTGTTTGTTTGTTGTCTTGCTCTTTCGTTCAGATGTTTCTTCTGTTGTGGGCAAGGTGCATCTCTTTCTTTTCTTTTCTTTCCGGTACACATGCCTACCTATCTATCAATTATCTCTCACCTACGGTGCCCCCTTTGATCTTTCTAACCGTTCTGCCAAAACACCAGGTTGTACAACACAACCTTCCGCTTTTGTCTCTCCCTTCCCGAAAAATGCCATTTTTATTATTGTGTCGCCGCGCAAAGGCCGGGTCTTGGAGGTAGAACTCTCTCCCTCCTTCCCGGCCCTTAGCCTACTAAGGAATCCACACGCTTCCTTAAGTTATAAGAACCAGGCTGACGACATTCCGCTGGTCGCCCAGCTTGGACACAAACCTCCCATCACGAAGTCTTGTTCTTCTTACTTCTGGATCCCTCTTCCTTATTTCTTCCCCATTCCGTCCCTTGCCCCGGCTGTCTCTCCAATACCCCTTCCCCTTCTTCCAACACCGCCGACACCCATGCTGGGTCTTGCATATTCGCCCTTACGTATGCAATGAATGCGTTCGACGACCACCTCCCTTCCTTCGTTATCACAGCCTCCGGTACCCCTTTCGCGGCCAGCCTCGTCGCCCCACCTATCCTTCCCGAATGTAACGCGAACTCTTCCGGTTTCAGCTTCGCCCCTGCCCCTTTCCCTTCCTTCGACCACCTCTTTGACACCGCTCTTATCCCCTTCCTCATCTGCTCTGTCGCCTTCCTTCTCTGCCATACCTCCCACTTCCCTTCCCTTCTGTGTACCATCAATGGTGCCGTTGCACTTAGTCCTTCACTTCCATAAATCCCGAATAGTTCCAACATCAATTCCACCGCTCCATTCGCCCTCCCCCTCTCCCTGACCAGCACCGCTCCTTTCCTCCCTTGATCTCCCTTCGAGCCTCTCATCTGCACTTCTATCTTATCTGCCCTTAACCTCTCCGGTCCTTCCAGCTGCTTATCGCCCTCGAAGAATGCCACATCCCCCCCTGCACAGGCAGTACACTTCGTGGATTTTCCCATCCTTTTCCGCAAACAACTCTGACGCCCTCAACATCAGCAGATATGTCAAGGCCAATCCGATCCATAGCACTCTTCCCCCTGCACCCTCACCGCCAACACTCTGCTGCATTGCACTCATCATTCCCCATGTCAGAGGTCTCCTCACTCTAGCTTGTGTGCCTTTCTCCACGTGCCCTCTCTTAATACCTTGCGCTACCCCTTTGATGTACGGGTTACTCAACGGCAAAGACATGTTCTGAAACTGTTGATGATAGAAGTTTACCGCCACGAGCTTCCCCATTATCGTCGAATCCCTACATTGTATTTCCTAGGAACGCACTACAGTAAGCCATGTACTCCGCCAGCTCCTCCACTATCTCCCCTTCCTCCGACCCCTTCGCAATCCATGGGCTCTTCTGCACTCGTTCCCTCCACTTTATCCACATGTTCCAAGCCCCCGTGTAAGTTTTTCTAGTCGACGCTGCAACTCTCCCAAGTGCGTAGCTTCGCGCAAAATCTCTGCACATAGCTGCTGCTCCTCGA